TAGATTGAGTAAAATAGTATAGTAATTATCAAGTTAAACCCCTGAAGATTTCCTTTAGATTGAGTAAAATCGTGTAGTAATTATGAAATCGAATCCCTTTAATTACTGACTTGGTGATTAATAAATAGTTATAAATTGCGATCCTTGTATTATATTTAGGGTTGAAAAAGCTTACTTTTCTTGGATCAGACATTAAAGTTGAAGAAAATATTACCTGGTTTTATCAAGTGAAAACATTTTAATTGTCACCCGGTAGCACGAAAAAATAAAAAATACAGACTGTTAATACAAATTATAAGCATCGTTCATAAAAACTGTTTTCTATGTAGCACGCTGAAGCACTTAGCTAAAGAGTTTGAAGAATTATCCAGTACCTGTCTGTTAGTTTTGCACCTTGAAGTCAGAGTTCATTGTTTTTATTATCTTCTACCGGTTGCAATACAGGTAAGGTAATTAATTTTGAACTTATAAGTAAAAAGAAAAGGATGAAGTTGATTTTAATTTTATAATTGCAGTTTTCTCTGGACTTTTTTATTTCTACCTCTTAATTCTTAGCTTCACTAAAAGCTCAATTATCATTAGCTATAATGTACAACAATGTCAAACTGATTAAGTTTAGAAAAATTGTTCCTCGTTTACTAATTGATCCTTAAATAAGATCTTGTTACATCTCGAAACAAGTTTTTTTTTTTTTCAGATCCTCACATCCCTCTTTTTTTTTCTATTCTTTTGTATAAAATTTTCTACTTCTTGAAATCTTCATGATGTTAGAAATATACAGAATGTGGCATATTCAGCTGATGTTCAGACCTGTGTGAACTTCAGCTGATTTCAGTTAGCTGTGTCTTATTAAGGGATGAAGTATACGTGCCTTCTCAGTGACTCAGTAGTAAGTCTGTGGACTTTTAATGCTAAAAACTAGGTTTTGGTACCCGTGGTTGGCACAGCACAGATAGCCCATTGTGTTGCTATGGACTTAACTACAAACAAACAAGATCGACCTTTTTATAAAACAAGTCTGTTAAATCTGCTACATTAAAACTGAATTAGACAGTCAAGAGTTACTTAGAAACACCCTTACATAATTGAGTCAAATTTTAAGTTTTAATAACCCTACTTCACACTGTTTGTTAACCTATAATAATGTTTCAAAATACTCTGTGTCTTTTTTGCTTCAAATGATGATTTAGGGATCATTTGCATTGGGTGTTGACAGCCAAGAACCTGACCCCGAAGTATTGAAGCTTAACAAAGACTTGTCAAATATTGACGAGGCTATGACTGCTAGTCTTCAAACCAGAAAACTGAAGTAAGCCGAACTTTACTTTTCTCATCTTATTTTTAAGCGTAAGAATGAAACGATAGCCCGCGTTTTTTTGTGTATCAACTTACCTGCTGTTTTATTCTTGTACTTTAAATTTCTCCTCTTCTCGATGAATCTTTGAAGACTACGTAATACGATGTGTTTCTATTCCTTTTGAGTTCTTATGAAGTGGCTTTTTTTTATTTCTTCATGAAATATAAGTTTGTTAATTACCAAGTTACTGTTTGATCATTATTTCCTCTTTCCTATTCTGAAATAGTTACTCTTGTGTACTGTTAGTGAAACAGTTTTTCTTGGGTATATTTCTGTGAAACAATGCTATTCTTGCCTTCTCTTATGAAACAATACTGTATTGTTATAGTTATTGGTTAGTTGTGTTTGTGTATACTGTTGATGTGTTATTAACTGTAAATACTTGTTATGGGTTTATGTATACTGTTGATGTGTTATTAATTGTAAATACTTGTTACGGGTTGGTTTATGTAACTGTTGATGTGTTATTAATTGTAAATACTTGTTACGGGTTGGTTTGTATATACTGTTGATGTGTTATTAACTGTAAATACTTGTTATGGGTTTATGTATACTGTTGATGTGTTATTAACTGTAAATACTTGTTACAGGTTGGTTTATGTATACTGTTGATGTGTTATTAACTGTAAATACTTGTTACAGGTTGGTTTGTATATACTGTTGATGTGTTATTAACTGTAAATACTTGTTATGGGTTTGTTTATGTATACTGTTGATGTGTTATTAACTGTAAATACTTGTTACGGGTTGGTCTATGTATACTGTTGATGTGTTATTAACTGTAAATACTTGTTACGGGTTGGTTTATGTATACTGTTGATGTGTTATTAACTGTAAATACTTGTTACGAGTTGGTTTATATATATACTGTTGATGTGTTATTAACTGTAACTACTTGTTACGGGTTGGTTTATATATATATATATACTGTTGATGTGTTATTAACTGTAACTACTTGTTACGGGTTGGTTTATATATATATACTGTTGATGTGTTATTAACTGTAACTACTTATGTGTTTGGTTTGTTTGTTTATACTGTTGATGTGTTATTAACTGTAAATTCTTATATGTTCGGTTTGTTTATACTGTTGATGTGTTATTAACTGTAAATACTTGTTATGGGTCATTCTTCAGTTCATTGTTAATGTTTTTGATAAACACAAGTAATGGGTTGGTTGTCATGGTAAAATGTGGACTTCAGATTAAACTTCCTAATGTAGTTAATTTGAGAAATATCGTACTGACTGTTGTCTGTTACTGATGGGTTACTAAAATATTGTTGTATGTTAGCTATTTTAATTAAAGGTTTGATGAGCACACGTTATTAATTATCATTATCTTTATTAGATTAATTAATAAAATTTTATCTTTCTCAGAAAGATCCTAGTCTTCGTAGATTTGTGTTTGAAAGGTGGTTATACGAGAACAAATACATTAAATAAAAATGTATCGGCTCACTTGAATTAAGTTTTTCTGACATTAAGTTGCGATCATTCAACAATAAGATTAATTTTTGGTCTAGATTTTCCCCTGGTTGTCTTTGTGTAAACTTTTGGATGAGTTTTTATCCAGTTTAACTTAAAATCATGTGCATGCATATAAACTCTGAGTTTTTGAATCTGTCAGATTCCTTTACATTTAGGGAAATAAGATCTGATGAATGTTACTGTCAGTGTTGTAAAGTCTGTCACACTGTTTCAACTTGTATTAAGAAATTAGAATCCAAACTCTTCAAGTTTATTCTGGTCTTGTCTATAGGTATATCTTTGAAGGACTTGGCCACCTGGTGTCAGCAGTCTTAATTAATAGTGCCTCTACTATCAAAAGAATAAATGAAAATGGTGTTAAAAGGATGTGAGTGCAGTTTATAAACATTCATCATTAGTGTATTTTAAGAGTAACGTTTAGGTGTATTGACTTTGTAACTGTTATGAAAGTTATTTTTAATATTATTTTTGTTTGTGACCATCTATATACTACTAAAACTCTGAGATTGTTTGTTTGTTTGTAATTAAATACAGTAAAAACGGCGCACAATAGTGCAATATTTGTAATGAAAATGAGAATAGAAACAGAATATAACAAGTTTCGTTAAAATCGGGCCACGGATTACCGAGTTAGCCCCGTTTTTCGGGTCACTTTTATGAAAATTTCTAGCATGAGTAATTTTTACATCACACT